ATTATATGACTGTCTTTGATTTTCAAGATAATTTAGAATGGTAGTTCATTTAACAGTGCCAAATATCTTCCACAAGCTTGTTCTTTAATGTGCAGCCTTCAGCAACATGAACAAATTTATTTCAGTATAAAGACATTTATAAAGATTTGCTGTCACTTGCTAATTACTTAATGCATTAAGTACAGTAAACTGGAATTAGGAATAATGAATCCTGGAATCATAAGTAAGCTGGAATCATAAGCAGCTTGCAATTTAGAAATTCTCTCTAACCAGGGTGGACTTGATTTAAATCAAATCAATTTAAATCGTGACTTAAATCATGATTTAAATTTTGATTAGTGATTTAATCATTGTTTTCTATAAAAAGTGCATTCTTGTTGTTTGATATAACCTTCATTAAAATATTCCCAAACGGTTTCTTTTACAGCCTGGCCAGCCTGCTGCCAGGATAGGTTTTCCCTTCTACTGTACCATGTGCTCACTAGATCTCAAATCAATGGAGAGGCTATACTCAGAAACGTATCCCTTTAAGGCTTCTGGAATATTCTGCTGAAAATATTTCTCTTTTGTTTCTACTGCCTCTTCCTCCTTGCATTTATCTTCAGACTCCTCCTTCTTGCCCAGATCTACTCCACCCTCAACAATCCTTTAGTCATTTAACTTCTTGAAACTTTGTATTTTTAGAGAAAGGTAATGTCTTGACTGCGTACACAAACTTGCAGCGAGACAATAGGGCTGATGGGTAGGTAATGAAGTCTGTTATCTCTCATCTTCATATACTGCTGTTAACAAGGATGTTATCTCTGGAGACACAAATCCACACTTTGAGAACTGAAACTAAGCATCACAGAGATGCTTAATGGGATCTTCTTGACTGAGCACTGAGTCCCATTGGGTTGAATCTTTACTAATCTATAGAGGAGCCTCTGGGAACCCCATAAGATTGGACCCCTAATACAGTCCATGGCCTGTTGTGATCCATTTATAAAAATTTCTAAAAAGGTTACATAAATATATTGTCTCAAATAGTATATAATTAGAAGTTATAACCCCTATTCCATGATATCTTTAAACTCTAACATATCTTAAATTAAAACTATCTTTACATAGGTTTGTTTTATTTTAAAAAAGCATCGTAACAAAAAAATTGATTAAATAAAAAATCTGATTTAAATTTAAAAATCCAATGTTTTTGATTTTTAAAAAAATAGTTGATTTTTATCCACCTGAGATGTCTCTAACGTGTTTGATTTCCTGAACATTTCTCAGAGAAGTCAAGGTTCCCAGTTAGGTTCTTGTTTCCATGCTAATAAAGCTGATGTCAAATTTCAAAATATAGGAGAAATATTATAGAATCTCAAGGAAGACCAATTTAGGCTCCATATTAGAAAAAACTTCTTCGTAGCCTTTGTCCAGACAGTGGAATAAGCTCCCTCCAGAGGTGGTATAATCACCTACCCTGGAAATCTTCAAGAGGAGACTAGACAGTCACCTTGCTGGGGACACCTGAACCCCAATTATCTTTTCTGCTTGCTGCAGGGGGCTGGACCCAGTGGTCTTCCAAGGTCCCTTCCAGCCTTACAATCTTTGAATCTATGAACCTAAGGTTATAAAGGATCTAATGGTTCATCTAGTCCAACGCTCTTCATAGACACAGATGCAAGATTCATTATACCTAAATCATCCCAGAGAGAAACCTGTCCGGTTTCTTGAAAATATCTAACGAAGAAAATTCCATAACTTCCCTAAACAGCATTGTCCTTTTGTTTTTATAGGTAAGAAGTTTATTTCTGATATTTAATCTAAATCTGCTTTAGCATAGTTTAAAGCCATTGCCTGTTGTCCTGCCTTCAGTGGAGGGAAAAACAATGTTCCTCCATCTTGTTCATGGCAGCCTTTCAAATATTTGAAACTGCTATTACATTTCCTTTTAATATCCTGTTCTCCAAAATAAACATACCTATTTTCTTCAAGCTTTCCTCCTACAGCTTGCATCCAGCTCAAACCAATAATATACTCAATGACTTCTTTAAAATACAGTCATGGAATATGTTCATTTGCCCTAGAGTGAGCCAGTCTCCAAAGATGTTCTACGTTCCATTAACTTCAGTGATAGAAGACCGTGGTCAGCTCACTTTTGAAAATTGGGCCACCAATCCCTGTGCCATCCTATTTCTAAACTGCTAATAGAACCAACATTTTTATACTTGACCCACATAATGTTTTCACATTTACATAGATCTTATTGTTTAAATTATACATGCACAATTACATGCTTAATTTATGTGCACAAATACTGTAATTATATGTGCAATAGTATAGTAGTATAGCATTCAGATAGTTGAATGACAAGTCTCTGATGCATCTTTTCAGATGTGGATGGAATTGCCCAGGTAGCACATTGTGTTAACAACATTCACACACTAGGCACAGAGGTGCCTTCCTCTACTTCTTAGAAATTAGATAATAAATGAAAGATTATTATCTAGCTTTGAAAATCTGACTCACAGAGCTTTTCTCGCAGGATGTTTTGCAAACTACATATAGCCCTGACTCCACAGACTGTACTTCAAAGGTTTTGTACCTGTTCTTCTCAATGTGGTCCTCAGTATCTCTTGGGAGGAATTGGCAGAAGGTTGCTTCTCTGACCCCTTGTTATATTCTATCAGGGTTCCTGCCACCTCTCTTTTTTACCTCTATCTCAGTTTTAATTTCTTGGCTGTATTTCTTCCTTTTTCTTTGTTTCCCTTCCCTGCTGTTTTGCATTTTTTTTTGCTGACTCCTTTCCTCTCTGGAGTACTACCCAAGGCTGAGCTGAATACCATGGAGCAGACTTTGATTGGGAAAACTGGAGCTGCTACCAGAGGCAGAAAACATCAGGGGTCCAGAATGAACAGAGATGAATGGGAAGAAACTTTCAGTAAATTACCTCATTCATTACCTAGGCATCCCAGCAAAATTTGCAACATTTGTAAGGTCCAAGGAAGAGTTGGTGTTTGGCTTCTGACAGTTTTCATTCCCTGACCATGCTGATTCTCTTCTTTGCCCAGTGCATCTCTTTTACTAATCTGGTGTTTTCCCAGCTTATGATGTGCTAGTTTACATAACAGGAAATTTGTTTGCATGAGGACGAGTTTGGATCTGACTATATAAAAAAATCACTTTGCACACCATCAAATTCCAACCATCTCTGGGATGAATGTAGAAATAATTTAACACTGTATAGCTGTATCCTGTAGCCAACTAATTCTGTCAGATGAGGGCCATAATTACTAGGACTGTGCGACGCTTCAGTAGTTGATTTGATTCAGAGGAGATTCGGCCCAATTTGGGGACCGAATCTCTGAATCTGAATCAAATCGGGAGACCAGTTAAAAGCTCTGAATCAATTCAGAAAAGATTCAGAAAAGATTTGGCAATTTGGCCATAGACTGAACAGGCAGCTGACACAGCTGACTCCAGCTGGTAAGTCTGTTGGGGTTGGGAGACGGGGGAGGGAAAGGGCGTGGGGAAAGGAGGGATTGGGTCTGTAGCTGGGACAAGCTGCCCAGCTGGGGCGGGAGGCGCATTACTCGGGGAGGAAGGCGGGGGGATGCAGGCGGGGGAGCACCTGGGGCAGCGGCGCGGGGCCGCC